GCACAAATTTTCGGTACTACCTTCGAGATCACCTCGAGGTACTCGGACTTGCAACCCGTCGGTATGGGAGCCTTCGGTCTGGTTTGGTTAGTCTGAGAAAATACCATCCATCGCAACCAGCGCTCGTTGCGAACGTCTATTCATACTTGCTGACACGTCTTTTCCGCTCGCAGCTCCGCCCGTGACCAACTTACCAACCAGAATGTTGCCGTCAAGAAGATTATGAAGCCCTTCAGCACTCCCGTTCTCGCCAAGCGAACATACCGTGAGCTCAAGCTGCTCAAGCACTTGAGACATGAGAACGTACGTTCTGTCCCGCCTTGGCTGCGTCTCTTCATACTCAGTCGGGTCGACGTGTGTTGATATCCACCTAGGTCATCTCTCTCAGTGATATCTTCATCTCCCCTCTCGAGGATATTTACTTCGTCACAGAGCTTCTCGGCACCGACTTGCACCGACTGCTCACCTCCAGGCCTCTTGAGAAGCAGTTTATTCAGTATTTCCTTTACCAGATCATGGTAAGCCGCGGCCCCTAATGGGAATTCTCTCCGATACCCGAATTGACATGTTTTTGTAGCGCGGACTGAAATACGTCCACTCTGCTGGTGTTGTCCACCGTGATTTGAAGCCCAGCAACATTCTCGTCAACGAGAACTGCGACTTGAAGATTTGCGACTTCGGTCTCGCCCGTATTCAGGACCCCCAGATGACTGGTTATGTCTCGACGAGATACTACCGTGCTCCCGAGATCATGCTCACATGGCAAAAGTACGACGTTGAGGTCGACATCTGGAGTGCGGGATGCATTTTCGCCGAGATGTTGGAGGGCAAGCCTCTGTTCCCCGGCAAGGACCACGTCAACCAGTTCTCCATTATCACCGAGCTTCTCGGCACTCCTCCTGACGATGTCATCAACGGCATTGCCAGTGAAAACGTGAGTTGATGCAGAGCACAAGCGATAATTGATTTGCCTACTGACACGGACCCAAGACCCTCCGATTCGTCAAGTCCCTGCCCAAGCGCGAAAGGCAACCCTTGAAGAACAAGTTCAAGAACGCCGACCCCTCCGCCATCGATCTCCTGGAGAGGATGCTGGTCTTTGATCCCAAGAAGCGGATAACGGCCACTGAGGCGCTCTCGCACGACTACCTTGCCCCTTACCACGACCCCTCTGACGAGCCCGTTGCTGAGGAGAAGTTCGACTGGAGTTTCAACGACGCTGATTTGCCGGTGGACACGTGGAAGATCATGATGTAAGCCTATTCTCATCTCAAATTTTCATGAATTACTTGCTAACGAAGTACTCTTTGCAGGTACTCCGAGATACTCGACTACCACAATGTGGATGCGTCTGCGCAACAGATGGAAGAGCAGTTCAACGCACAATAGATGAGGGAGTTCAGGGGCAGAGCGAGGATAAATAGGAGAGGGGGGGCTATGATACCACGCAAAACCAGAACGGCACGTGTTTCCAGTACATTCGCACGCAATCATGGTGTTCGGAAGAGGGGATCGGTTATTGTAACGTTGACAATGCAAAGGGCCAACAGTATACGCGATATAAAGGAATGGCATGCATCTTGGAGGTGTTTCTCTTTTTTTCATCATATTGTTCCAACAAATTTTCCTTTTCCTGGGTCTCCAGGTTCTGTTAGAATAAAGTCCGCGGCATAGGGCATAGGGACAAGCTGACAACGAGCTTAGAGGCCCTGATTACGAGGACTTGCTTTATCAATCAGGATAACGGACGCTCTACTGGACACTTGAATATGGGATGCCCTTTGCGAACTGTAGGATGGATGAATTCGGGCGTAGTAGCAGAAAATGCTGCGGCAGATCACAATTGAAGACAAAGACGAGAAAAAGAAAAAAACCATGGAAACCGTAAAAAGGGTAGCCAAGGCTTGTGATCTACCTTCACTACTACCAAAGCGAATCAAACGATGATCCCAAGGGGTTAGGTACCTAGGTACCAGGTATGTTTTCAAAGACAACTGTGGCTTGATATGTGGTTGTGTACGTGCAGACCACCGCCACAGAGCGTGTGGCTTGTGGGCTGCCTCAGCCACATATAACGAGAGTGTGGCTGGCATTATGCCACGATCCGTCGCAATTAGGATGGTCGCACGAAGCGGAACTATACCTCGAAAAGTTTCACTGTGACCCTTTTTTTGACTGCAAGAAATTCAATTCATGATAGTCAGAAGGAAGCATAGGTGAGTGACACCTGAGGTGAGATGTTAAGGGGCGGGCAGGCGGCACACTCCGCACGGTGAAAAGGTGGTGGAGGATGGTGATTCGACGAGAGGGAGGAGGAAAAATCCCATCTCATGCAATGCAGGACACGCTGGCGGTGCTTGAGGTTAAGGTGAGATGAGGTTTGGGGTTTCCGGGAAGGGAGGGAAGGTTGACGTGGTGTTTTTGCCTCTCCGACTTTTGGTCGCTTTCGCCGAGGTAGTCGGTCATGGACTGGGAGGTTTTATCGGTAGGAGACTAGGAGTTGACTCCGGGTTGTTCTCAGTTTAGTACCTAGGCATTATGGGTGGTGGCATTTGTGATGTTGCTGGGGCAAAAGGTTTATTGATTTACAGGCTCAAAGTTTAGCTTCTAGCGTTGTTCACACCACCTTTCTCTCACCGTTTATCCGTCGTTATTGAAGAACTACACTTGAGGTAATACCGGTAATACCGGTACACCACACATGCAACTCATGAGTGAGTCGTCTTGAGAAGGGGTAGCACGGGAACCGAAGTAGCGGGAAGAAGCAAAGCTGTGAGTCGTGAAATCGTGATCGATTGATTGATGGACGTGCCATGGAGACGTGGTCGGTGCTTTTCCCTTCGGTGCATGGTTGACGTGTCTGTGGTGGACCACACGACCGGACCACAGACGTCGATGTCCGGCCTTTGGCGCTAGGCTAGTTGGAGGATGGTGAGGTTTTGAGATGGATGTCGAAAGTCTGGTAGATAACGAGTGTCTACACGGTCTGCTTGGGCTACTTTGCCTCCGTGAGAAGCAGTTTGTTGTTGTCGTGGTTTATCTCTTGCGGCAAGCGTGGACTAACGATGATATCCACTTAGAGCGAAGGGTGTTGGATGTCTCCGCGATGCTAAGGCTTGTGAGTTACTCGGCCAGGACTTAGTGGCTATAGCAGAATGTCAAAGAACGATTCAAGATGGCAATCAACTTTCAAGCATTGTATACTTGTCGCGATGGTGAGTGCAGATGTCTGTGTGTGCGTGACAGCGTGCATTTCCCAAAAGTAACGTATCTTGCTACGGACACTTGGAGTGGCATTTATTCTCGAACCGGGGGCCACGCGGGGTTACCGTAGTCGCCTTTTTTCCTGAGCCCGTGTTCTTGCTATTTTTCTTTTCCCCTCCTCCCCCCCATTGTTCTCGAACCTCGCTGGAACCTCGAACCCCTGAACCTGTCGTGCTTTCTTTCAATGTGGGACGAGTCGTTCGTTTTTAATTGCAACCCATCCCCGACAATTGACTTGTCTGGACTTCTGGTACACACTTGGCTCTATTTTAAGGGGTCCTGTGTCCGCATAAGAGCGTTCTCATAAAACGCGGGCAGAAAATAAAACAGAGAAGCCAGTGAGCAAATGAGAATAGAGGGGCAGGACGGCAAGGAAATTACAATGAGAGTGGAAAGACTGGACTGGAAGTAGTAATAAAGTATTTTACTATAGTTTTTTGCCATAGTGCATTAGCACTAATTCCAATACCTCACCCACAATGCCCACTCTCCCGAACCCAGTCTCATTTTGAACGTTGCCCGCCTCCGGTCCAATACAAAGCCTACTGCGAACCCACACCGCGAACAACCGTGCTGTGTGGTGGGCGAGCCATTCGAGTCTCTCTATCCCCTCAGCTCTCAGGTTTCCATCACCCTTACTTTCCACTCCTCCGCTCGCCGGTCTGCCACTCACATCTTTCTTTGCCTTCAACTTTTCCCCCAGGAAAGGAGGCGGCGAATTGTCCCTTTCTGTGCTATTACTGCCCTTCGACGCTTCGTATTAGCAAGGCCTTTCTCCACCGACCGCTCATTCTTACGGCTGCTACCAAACGTCCCCTTCCCAGGACCCTAATTCGCCAGTGCAACTACGAGGCGGCGGTCGAATCACCGAGGCAAACTGCACAGCGGTGCAACCCGATTTTCCTAGCTCATAGTCTCACGGACGCCCCATTCGCGCACCCGCAACCGCGCTCTTTCGAGAGAGACGAACCCGTCACCGCTTTCTGCGAGTTCTGCTTGGCAACGCCGGCAGGAAGCTTGCCGGCCGATTTTCGAGGAGGGACGAAGACTAGGCGGTATAGAAAGCAGACGCCCATACTTCCCTACATAATTCTACGGCCCAGGGAGAGAGAGAGTCACATTTCTTGACGACCAATTCTTCGTATAGAGGACGATAACCGAACCCGCCAATTGCTCTCCATTGGAGACTTGTGCAGATCAACTTTCCCGGCGGCTTGTCTCACACTACCCCCCATTTGAGTGGACGGGGAATCTCGATACTACGTCAGAACAGTAACCCGCAACCCCTCCTCGACCTTTCCGGGGGTCGAATTGCTTTACCACAAAGAAGAGCTTTGCGTGCCCGCCCCGAGAGATCTCGACGCCGAAAAAAGACCTCCTCCCATCGCGAGGCTTTGCCAGCGAAGCGGCAACCGGTAGCCCGAAAAGGATTGACCCACGCAAGCAAACGTTGGACGAAACGTGCGACGCACGCGAGGGGGACAAGTGAAGAAGAAACACAAACAAAAGACCAGGAACCCAGGAAATACATGGCAATGTCGTAGGAGTGGCCTGGTTGCGCCAAAGAAGTCGATTTACAAACATAGATTGAGGGATTCGCGAAGGAATTGGGCGGTTTTCCGAAGTAACCCAGTCCTGGTTTCTTACACAAACGGGAGATTTCGACGCATGTCCACCCCTCGTCGGTGAAAGGCATTCCCCAGTAAGAGAGGCAGACACGATAAGAAGGAGGAAGCATGGATACTCCCGAGGTTGCGACGCCGACGTCTGGCGCCGCTACGCCCTTGACGGTTCCGTCAACGCCGGCCAAGCCAGATTTCATTCCGCTGGTCACGGTTGTTGACTTCCACCATGCCCGCGGACCCGAGGTTGAGATGTGGTTTGGCGCGGCCGAGGGCACCGATCCGGCAGTCGAGTATGACTGGGGCTTGCTGCCTTTCATGGCGTTGAGCGACGGCGCGCATTTGTGAGTATCGACTCTGTTCATCGTAACGCAGATGGTGATTGGAAGCTCTGCCTGGGTGCCCAGCCGCTATCTACGTCTCAGAGCTGGATCAGAAGCTAACGACCCGGACCAGATCAAGCGAGGACTTTTCCTACTTTACGCTTCTTCGTCCGGCCACCGCCACAGGGCCTGCGACATCCCTGTTCGGCATATCCTGTACACGGCAGCTCGATGCCTCCCAGCTCCTGAACCGGCCCGCCGACGTCACGCGCTCGACGGTCCAGAAAGCCGTCGTCGTCATCGCCGACACGCCGCAGCACTTTGGCATGATGCGTGAGCGTCTCAGCGTCGTCACGCAGGCCTGGTTCGCGCAGCGCGAGTTCACCGACACGGAGATTCTCCGCCGTTTCCAGGAGAGTCTGGCCGAGGAGAAGGAGCGCGGGTTCTTGACGGAGGAGGAGAGCCGCGACCAGTACCTCGGCATGAGCTTGCGTGAGCTGGTGCACGAGTTCAAGTCGCAGACACTGATGCTGTTCAAATGTTGTTTGCTGCAGCCAAAGGTGCGTTTTTCTCCTGGTCAAGTGGTAGATTTTCGGAAGCTAACCGATGAGCATAGATGCTTTTTTTCGGATCGCGATGTGAAAGGTTATGCATGATGCAGTTTTCTCTTATTTCTCTGATACCCGGACTTATCCGTAATCTCGTCGACTGCGCCGACCCGGAGCTGAACAACTACGAGAAGAGGTTGGCGCGGCCCACGAGCTTGCGGACCAGCGATCGCAACTCTTTGCTCACTTACATGGGCTTGCCCCTGCAGATTTTCGGCAAGGTATGTTTGTTGTTGCCATGTCAAGGGCCCTTCAACTGACAATGTAAACAGGGTAGTCTATTTGGCCCATACACCCCTCTACAGCAACTTGACATACTCGCCGACTTTGGCACCAAGTCATACATTGTGGGCAGCACGAATTCACTCCTCCTGCAGCAGAGGGACCGCTACAGCGACATTCTAATTAATCTCGACGAGCACACCGTCAACGTCACATCCTCCTCCCTCAAGAACGCCCTGGCTCTGTCAGCCGCAGACCGCCGTTGGATCGACTACATTACCCAAGTAGTTAATGACACTTGGGACGAAGCCAACCCTCAGCGTCCAAACACCATGGGCTATGTCGGTAGCGAGGAGTTTATCCGCCTTCAGTTTGAAGAGTACATACTATCTCTCGTCTCTTCGGTGAAATACCGCAACCACCTCCATGCGCACCCGAATAACCCGCGGGCGCTCCTCCCACATATTGAAGGCGACCCGTCCCTCGACTACGGAAACGAATTCATCGAATACTGGTCCCGCACCGAAAACCATCGCATCTGGAACGGCAACACAGATTCTCACCTCTTTGACGTCGTCGAGCCGCGGCACCCCTGTGCCGGCGGTCTTACGATTGATGACGTGCAGCGCCGCATCGCTCAGCAGGTCCAGGACATGCATCTGGACGAGCGTCTCGCCGTGGGCAAGGAAGTCCTCGGACGCAACTTTGCCGTGGGCAAGGAGAAGGCGTCCAACATGTTCAACAAATTCTACTCTGACCTGGAAGCGCTCCGCGAGGCGCAGAGGAAACGAGCCGAGGAGCAGCGCCTGGCTCAGGAAGCTGCTACCGCGGAGGCCGAAAAGGCCGGCTCTCCCGCCGCCTCCACCGCGGCGACGGAAGGGGGAGCAGCCGCCAAGACGGCGGGGAATTCCGGCAACAAGGCTAGTTCGTACGTGAGTTCGTGGGTCACTTGGGCGGGCGAGAAGCGCAAAGCCGGGTGGGGTGGAGGCAGCGGCAGCGGGAACAGCACCGTGACGTCGCCAACTACGAGTACCAGTGGAGGGTACGGCTGGGGCCGCGGATGGGGCAAGTCCAAGACGGATGCCAATAAGGCTGGGAACGGTGACAGGGACTCTGCTTCGATCTCGGGGTCGCGGGTGTCTACTTCGTCTGCGGGGACAGAAATCAACGATAAGAGGCCGCACGGGGAGAAGCACGATTTCCAGCCGCTGACGCAGGGATCATACACGGAGTCGATTCTCTCGACGGGATCGATTGAGTCGGAGACGCCTGCGGGTCACGCGAGGCCAGAGTCGAAGGATGGGACTGCGCCGTCCACGGCGGTAGGAGCTTCCAAGACGACTGGTGAGGCCGATGGTAAGTTGAATGGCGACGAGAGCAGCACTATTAGGACAGTGGCTTCTGAAGCCGATGGAGAGGAGAAGAGGGGAGGTTCTGCCACCGCGGCCGCGAGTGCTTTGCCGACCAAGGCGCAACAGCCGCCACAGCAGGAAAGCGACGACGAGGAGGAGGACGAGGCGGAGGAATCCAGGGCGACGGCGGCTGCTGCGGAGGCTGCGGCTGAGGCGGCCAAGGCTTGGGGTGATGATCGCCCATGAAGAGGTAGAAATCAGCCCCCACGAGAAGGAGAAATCGTCCCTACGCAGAAAGAAAGAATGAAAGCATGTTAGCAGGCCGGGATGATAATGGGAATGAAGAATGGATGGATGGATGGATGCAGAGCAACAGCAGCAGCAGCAGCAACAACAACAACAACAACAACAACAACAACAACAACAACAACAACAACAGCAGCACCGAACAGGCCAAACCTGCAGAGGGGAAAAGAATCATCACAGTACAGAGTTGTACAGAAGTATCAGCATAGCGAAGCATTTGTTGGATGGAGGAGGAGGGGGGGGGGGTGTCCTATCTCCATCCAGGGTTGGATTGATGGGAAATATGGCGCGCATGAAAGAACCTCAATAGGGGACTCTACCCCTAGTTCTCCGGCATCTTGGTTTTGTCATCAACCTGTAGCTTTAATCATCATATATTTTACATGCAGAAGAGATTGAGAAAGCTTGTTTAACGGCCTTTGATGGGTTTGAAGGGGGGGGGGGGGAGGGGCACTTGGGATTTGACCGATGTACTACGGTTTGCGTGTGTTCGAGGGAGATGGCTTTGGGGGGGGGGGGGCGAGGAGTTGGATTACAGATCGGGAACAGATGAGATCAATGAGAAAGAAATACGGTTCATAACGATGTGTGATTGAGTTTCCGTTTACATTCCGTGACTTTGGGCATACGCGAAGGCTGAAGTGTCTCGGGAAAAACTCTTGTCCTCTCGTTGCACATCTAACTAAATGAGAAACGTAAAGTCTGGGTTCAAGAAAAAAACTTTTTCGTACCTCGTGCTCGAAACAAATGATGACCTGCAAAAGTGCCATGAGAATTCGTCCACGTAGACGGGAGACTCATCTGTGGTCAGCGGTGAGTGAGGAAAGCATCTATCAATAAAAGCCGACGTCAGGCTCACGGAGGGGGGGGGGGGCTTTCCTTCCTTCTGCTCGAAGCAAGACGACCAAACTTGCATTTTGCCGTCCAGTCGAGTCTCCTGCTTGGACGTTTGTTCCGAATTTGTACTTTTGTTCTAGAACAAACGAAGATTTCAGGAGACGAGGTAATAGTCATTACACGCTCTGGCCCTTCTATACTGTTATTTATTACACAGAAGGGTATTAGTCTTGGAATATATTGGGAATGCCAAACGTTTGAGGAGAGAGAGTCTGTTGGCACGAAGCGGAGTTGCTAAACATGGAGCCCAGGCAAGACTGATATCACCGCCAGACCCAACAAGATTGTAGGGACTGGGTACGGAAGGTCTCTCGTGCCTAGCCGAAATGTCGCTTTGGTTTATTGTTCCTGATCGTTTCTCGTGTCGTCAGACGACCTGTCTTAGACTACGTGTACGTCGCGAACAAAACTTTGCAGCGACCTCGTACAAAGAAAGAACCCAGACCAACCTTCTGTATGTCCCCTTTTCCGAGACAGATGTAACCCTTGAGCGAATCCGAAGAGAAGTTGCTACGAGTGGAATGTTCCATAGCATCGCTCGTCGCTTTGAAGCTAGACGGCGAAGGTGTGAGTTGGAGATGGGGGGGTTATCCTAGTCTGTTGGAAGTACCTGTGAGGAGTTGGTTAGGCAAATGTGGAGGGAAGCGGTCAAAGTGAGAATTATAGGTGTCTGGGCCCGCATGCATTCATCTTGTAGGTCGATTATTGCTCTGAATATGTGGTTTCCTCTATGCCAAATAGAAGGTGGGGCTTTGTGTTGCTCTAGACTACGTTGTACACATTGTCGAGACCCCAAACAGGGCGAATACATGGCGGAAGCCTTTGATGTCCCTACGAGTGAGTCTCACTCTATGGTTATCATGGACGCATTCGAGACCGCGTAAGGTATGCAGAGCAATGTGCCTTCTCTCGGTGACGGCGAATTCTCGTCTGTATCTTTCAATCGTTACTGGGTATTGAAAACTCCTAAAAAAACAACCCAAAAAGGTATCTTCGTCCAAGTCCACGAGCAACATAATCCCATCACATCATATACCACATCACAATCCATCAAACTCATCCCCAGAAAACCCATCCATCTTCAAACCCCTTAACCAACAAATCCTGCCCAAGCCCAAGCCCTTGCTTCTTCCCCCCCTCCGTCACACGACCGAAGGCCGCGGCCCAGACGAGACCATGACATGCCCAACACTCGACTGCCTCGACGCCTTCCTGCCGGAAGAGAACCTCTCAAAAAAGCCCGCCGTCCCAGACTTCCTCCGCTCCCCGCTCGAGATGCTCGATCTATCCGAGACCTCGCGGATCGAGGCGGCGTCGATAAAGGTCTGCGGAAAGATGCCCCAGACGCCCTTTGCGTTGGTGCCGGACCAGCACCAGTGATCTTGCCAAGCCCCTAGAAAGTCTTGTGTCAGCAGACTGAAGGTACTCTGAAGGCACACCATGGAAACGTCTACACGGGAAAAGGGGAAAAGGGAGGACAAGAGAAAGGGGGGGAGGGGGGGCAACTTACAGCTGATGTTGGTAATCCTCTCTCCCTGATCAAACTTCAACCAATCCCCGCCATCCTTCGGCCTCGGGGCAAACTTCCATCGCGCAACAGCCGAGATATTACTCGTCGTGTCCGCGCGAATCTCCGCCTTGGGCGGCGCCTCCAGCTTCAAAACATCCAGCGGCGCGGACCCGAAATTCCCCTCGTGCCACCCCATCACCCACTCCCCGTTATACTTGGCCGGAAACTCCAGCCCGCTCAACCTCGCACCATTTGCCAGCTCGAACCCGGGCGTATTATCGTACAGCAGCCGCATGCCGTACATCCTCTTGACAGTCTGCGTCGCCGTCGCCGTCGGGAGCTGCGCGAGCTCGAGCTGGCGGCCCTCGATGCGCGAGGGTCGGGGCGGGGCGCGGAAGTGCAGGTCGTAGTTGTTGCGCAGGTGGAGCGAGACTTCCCCGCCGCCCGTTGTTTCTGAAGATTCTACTACGGTAATGCCGGGTACTTGGGGAAGCGGTCGCGGGTGCCGGGCGAGGTGCTCGAACAGCTTCTTCTGGCTGAAGAAGACTGTCGCGTCGCATTCTTCAAGCGTGTGTTGGGCGTGGACACAGAAGACGCAGCCGTAGAGGAACTCGTCTGCGCGTTTGGTGGCGATGTGTGATTTCTGGAGGAAGCGGGGGCGGTAGGAGATTTTGTTGGAGGTGTGGTTTGCTTCCTCTGGAGGTTGTCATTATATTAATTAAAGCTCCTCCCTTAATTTGAAGTCTGATATCAAAATGCAGAGTTGAGTACGTACCGGCGTTGTTGACGTCGTTTTCGACTTGTTTGAAGTCGAGCTCGTATGAGCAGCTCGAGCATTTGGCGACCTCGTGTGCGCCAGAGAATCCCTTGCACCGAAAGTCAGTCCAGGTGTACTGCATAGAGAAAAGAGACTGGGACACTGGCGACTCACTGGTTTCTTAACCTTCTTAACACCGAGACCTCCGCGCGTAACCTCCTTCGCACCCTCACAGAACCCCTTATACAAATAAAACGAGCTGCTCAACCCGATATTACAATCCTTTGGCCGGGACGAGACCTGAAGCGCCGCCTCCCTCCCCTGCGGAGAAGACGACTCCGATTCGACGGGGATTAGCCCTTCACCGTCGCTCATGACTAGTGGAACCTTCTCGATGCCCTCGTGGACGCCGGGCGGGAAGTTGGGCGGGATGATGGGCGGCCTCGACGTCGGGCTGAGCCGGCCCCCGTCATGGGCCGAGGACGTGGAGACGCGGTGCTCCGTCATAGTGGGGCTAATGGCGCCCGAGTTCCTCCTGCCGCCGCCGTCGAATACGGAGTCGTGGAGGGATTCCTGGGAGCGTTGCCGTGAGGCGTGCGAGTACATGGAGCTGGTCTGCGAGTGCCGGTGGGGCCGCGGGGAGTGGCCTCCGTTCCCGTTCCGCGGCGTCTGCGTCTGATCTTCCGTGACGATGCCTAGTGTTGTAGACGGCGCTCGTCCTCGCGAGACGAGAGGGTGATTTCGGTCCGTCATCGATACTGGTGACCGCGTGAGGTCCTGCGGGCTCATCTGGTGGTACCGGTCTTCTTCCGAGAGAACGCGGTCGGTAGGGATCTCGAGCCGGTGATCTGAGCCGTGCGAGAGTCTGCTCATATTCTTCGGGCTGCCCGGCTCAGAGATGGGTGAGCTCATGGAGACGGGCGGACGACGCTCAATGTTCATCTCGCCCATTGATCCCTCCAGTCCCGTATCGATCATAGGGTTTGCTCCTATGCTCCACGGGTTCGTCGGGGGAGGAGGCGGCGGCTGCTGCTCGAGAACCTCCTCTCTGACTCTTGGCTCTGGCTCGGGTGGTGCATGTTGCTCTTCCTGTGGCTGGAAGTGATGTCCCTCGTGGGACGTGGTTAGACTTGCGTGGCCGTGGTCTTGGGTCTCTATGATCGGGGGGATCTTTGGTCAGCTGCATGGGTTTCCTTTCTCATGTTTAGATTCATGGGGGGCGATGGCTATAGTTACCGTGTGTAGCCGGTGGCGATGTCGCGATGAGTGGAATAGGAGGCTGCTCCCGCGGCGCCGGCTCTAGCCTCATCCTCCTCAAGATCTCACCGGTCCCGAGGCCGGCCCTCTTGCAGAGCTCCCGCAGCTCGACATACTTTTCCTTTTCAAACGTGTCTGCATCAATTACGTCTTCGAAATCCCATATCATATCAGTCATCTGTGACCTGTAGTCGGCGATCTCGTCTACATGGATGACAAAAAGGTCAGTTAACACCGTCGCTACAAGGTATGTGTATAAGGAAGAAAACGGAAATCACCATACTGTCATCTTTGAGCGCATCTATAAAGTTGACGCCAGACTCCTCCAAGTGGCGCAAGCACAGCGGCTCAATCATCTTGAGGATGCGCTCGGCGCCCTTGACCAGCTTCTGGCTCTCGGAGAGCATGTCCCGGTCATCGCCCGCATTCCCAAGCGCAATGGTCCCCTTCTCCACGACCTCCTCAAACGGTCCTGTCACCAAGTCCTTCACGACGTCCATGGTCGGCAAAAGGGGGTCC